GACTTGCATTAATACTGGAGCTGTGAATAAAAAACTCAGTTGACTCCCAGAACTGTGTTTCATCCGGTTACTGGGGGATTTGGGATATTGCCTTACTTTTCAGCGCTTGACTGTGGATTACCTTCTGTACCAGCGGAGATCGTGGAATTTAATATTGCAGCTCCACTACACAAGGCATTCTTAATGTATATAATTACTTCATATTAATCAATATAAATTATCCTTCCTTATGTTACCATTGTTTGTTTTACTTCACCTCGATTATAAATAAAATATTTATTCTAGTGAATCTATAAAATACTGTTGAACTCAATCTTTGTAGTATTAAGTAACCATGATCCTTATTTTATCAACTTCATATTTTATCTACTTCTAATACTTCTCATCCTATGTATAGGTCATAATATAATAGTTCTTTTCATAATGCTATCCTATCATAATTTTACTCCATATGTTATATAGTTATAAGTACTCTCTCTTTTGTTATTAATACACTCATAACTGTTAAATAACTTCTCATTGTCTGTTTTCTTCTTTGTTAATATTTAGAAATATATGTATGTTAGTGTCAATCTTTTATTTCTTTTTAAGTCTGTTAATCTTTTGTTTCAAATGAACTCTGTAGAATCTTCCATCACAGTTTGCAGCTCAGATGAAAAGTCTCTTTCAAACAGTCGATGTCCAGTTGACTAAAGGAATGTTTTCCTGATTTATTGCCACATGGATCTGTCACGCTTTACCAGATCAGTTATTTCTGTTTATTTCGTTGCTTCAGCCACAGAGCTGCGCAGTTCTGGACGTGGATCTCGATAATTGCCAATCTCTGCCACGTGCTTGCTTCTAGAATTCACGTTGAAACTTGTGCTTTTTGTTTTGTAGAAAATAGTCTTGTATAGTTTTTCTAGTTTGAAAACTCTTTTTCTTACAAACCACAGATTCTTTTTTTTCTCTTCAAGCTTGTTTTCCCAGTTCAAAAACAGCTTTGTAACTTGATTTTTCTCTCTCCCCACTTGAAGTGGGAACAAAACTTGAATAGAAGACTGGCTGGCTCGCCAATGTAAAATCTGGTTGGGATCTATTGTCACTGTTAAATCTTCTTAATTTCTTCTTGTCTTCAGTTGATTGATTTATACACATCTTTTGTATATATAGTCTTGGGCCAAACTTGCTCGCACAATTAATATATGGCTATATTAATGAAAAGTACTAATACGCAATCTGACTTACGGTTTCTTCGGGTTTATTCTTAGTTACTGATACATAATAAAACAACAAAGGATGTTACATGATAATGGACATTCAACAGCAGATGGTAATTGCTGGACTTCTGATGGGAGAGTTACAGCTTATACAGGAAAGAGAGCCGAGAGCCAAGAGCCAAGAGAACTCATGTCTCTTTGTTCAGTTACTATATAGAAGGGCCATAATGATGTCAGACTATAACTCTAGCCATATAAGGACAAGACCCCCAAATCCACATTCCAGAGCTCTCGAACAAAGAATGCCTTGTGACTTATACCATCTGTTACTTATGTCAATCCACACATCCATATATAATCAATAGAAACATAGAATATGCAATATTCTGTGTGTGTGTGTATATGTATATGTGTGTGTGTGTGTGTGTGTAAATATATATATATATATATATATATATGAGACAGCGCTGGTTAACCAACAGGCAGCAACCCGTTAAAGGGAATCCCTCCAAACCCTTTTAGAACAAGAAGAGTGAAAAAAAAATAAAATAAATAAGAGCAAGGGCTGTGCCATAGTAAGTAAATATTGTCCAATTCCAATGATGGAAGTAAATATAAAAGAAAGTCCAACCTAGATATCCTCACTGAAGTCTTTAAAGTGCTGTGTACAGGGGCAAGGTCCTTGGACGTTTTGTAGTTCCACTATTTGCTATTTGCCCCTTACACATATACACACATACATATACATACACATACCGTGTATGTATATGTATGTGTGTATATGTGTAAGGGGCAAATAGCTGTATATGGAGTAAAGTTCAAGAAAGAACGTATGATAGTATAAAAGAGCAAGTCAGTTGTGGTGTGCCGAGACCAACGATACGGTAGGCCTGTAAATAAAGAGGGCAAAAGTGAATATGCAAAAGATTTAATACAGTCAACAAATATATACAATTATTCAGATATTTCTTTAAATGCATTTCTTAATTCTTGTGTAGGTTTGGGTATGTAAGTCGTATATGTGGATGATTTCCAATGACCCAGTGATTTTATGATGTGCACTGGTATGTTAGCGCTGGAAGCTGTAGAGGCCGCCGCTATGCAAAAGGAGTGACCTGCGTAGTGAGAAGGGTTAAAACCTAGCATAGTTAACAGGGATCAGATGTATTTCATAAAAGTAGTGGTAGTGAGTACAGAGCCTTGTAGTGTGAATAAATGTTGTGATGGTAGTGATGTAGAAGGTAGGAATCTAGAGTCGCCACGGGACACCATTTTGGGTAGGGAAATAAGTGACAGTATGTAGTGATCCATGTGTTTGCGTAGGTGTGTGTGTAGAAGACGTCTGAGTGGTGGTGATAGTAGTAAATTGTCTTGGCCTGAGGAAACTGTAGAAGGCTATGTATATGGCAGCTTTGATGACTGTGTTGGTGGTAGAGTGGAAAGGTTTGCAGTCTAATAGGTCAGATAATGACTGGAAAAGTGTGTTGTCTATAGGTAATCCATGCGGGGGGATGTGGAGGAACGGATCTCTGAATTCCTCTGAGTATGTTCTTTATCTGATAAGATGACATGAAGCTATGTGTATTAGGTTGTAGTGTTAGCATGTGATGTTGAATGCCTGTAAGATATAATTTGATGGTGTTTTAAGATTAGTGTAATTTAAGATGGCAAAAATAAGTGAAGGCTATTATAGATGTCATGACAAAAGGTTGAAAGAAATCTTTCTAACAGTGTGAAGGCTCTGTTGTATGTTTTGCAAGTGTTGGATGATAGTGCCAATTTGGACAGATCCCTGCTATGTTGCATGATTAATTCTAGTCCATAGTTAGCTGTTGGAATGGAGTGGTGGCTGTGGCTGCTTGCGCTGCTGACGGGAGTGCTCCTGAAAGTTAAAACGAGACAGACTGTCAGCTGCTATGTTACTAATGCCTGGCACATAAAAGCAGACCAAGTAGAAATTGTGACATGCTGCTAACCACGTGAGTTTCCTGAGAAATCTCATTATTGTTAGGGATGATGAACGGCCTTTGTTATTGATGTGACATGTGGCTTGGTTGTCTGTTTGGCAACAAATTGACAAGCCTGACCATAAATGTCCCCATGCCACGGCAGCTGCTACAATGGGGTAAATCTCAAAAAGAGCTGAGGCTGTAAAAAAGCCTTCAAGTCATAGACTTCTGCAGGCCACCTACCCCAAAGCCATTCGTTCCCAAAGATTGCTGCAAAACCCATGGTAGACGCCGCGTCTGACCATATGGTTGGAGATATGTCAGACAATCCTGGGAGAAACTTTTACCATTCCAGGTGGTCAAGAATTCTTTCCACATGTGCAGGTCTACCGTGGCGTGCACATCCATGGACAGTCTATGGTTGTTGTGTTGGAAGTGTGGGAAAGACAGAAGTCTGGATATGAAAGCCCTCCCTTGAGGGATGATGTGCATGGCAAAGTTTAAGGAACCTATGAGAGATTGAAGTTCCTTGCAGTTGCAAGTACCCAGCAGGATGTAGTGGTTGATGCTGTTGAGAATGTTTGTAACACTAACACTCACTAACACTCACTCTAACGATTAACTCTAACACTCACTAACACATGTTTTGGTTTTTTTTTTTAATGTAATCCCCCAGCCTCCTTACCTTTTGGAGTGCTGGGGGGATTCCCTGGGGTCCAGTGGTGCTGCTGGGCTCCTGGGCGGGTGGCCACTCAGTGCTTCCTCTTCAGCTCCCTGGCGCGCCGCGTAGGGATGCCGGCGCCGGAAGATGACGTCATCTTCCGGCTCCGGTATCAGTGTGGTGTGCGAGGGAGCTGAAGAGGAAGCACTGAGTGCTCCCTCGCGCGCCCACCTGCCCGACCGGCCACCCGCCTGCCGGGTGTCAGCAGGGCCAGCCTCGGGGGGCCCTGGGGTGCCCGGCTCCTGGGCCCCCCAGGGGAAGAGGCTGGCCCTGTGGGTACATACTGGTTCGCAGGGGCGGCCGGGCCCCCTGGTGGGCCGGGCCCGGTCGCAGCCGCGACCCTGGTATGTACGCCACTGGACTCAACAGTGTGTCAGTGTGCGGCATAGGTTAAATATCCTGCTGTACCTCTGGTGATAGGGCTGGATACGTAAGGCTAGGCTTAGGTCTGTCCAGAGTAGGCAAAGCCAGGCTAGCATTTATCCTAGTTTGGTGGTACACTTCTAAGCTATGAACAGGCACAGCGCGAAAATAAGTAAAACAATGAGACAATCATAAGAAATGTAATAGGTTGTGGGCTGGAAACACAAATTATGTTAATACTGTTAGCAAAAATTCGGCATTTGAGTAGGCTGCACATTTTAGTAACATATAAGCAATTAAAACAACAATATAGACAGGAGTATGGTATGTTGCGTGCTATGTGTCTGTTGTGGGCTATGGATCAAGTTAAGTAGTCCTTCTATCTGAATATGTTGCTTAACCCTGAAGATATGTGTGGAAGTTAGGGCGCTAGATTTACATGTGGATAGACATATTTATTATAATGTATGCCGATTATGACTATGCTATGCTAGCAACACCGTAGGTATAGCGATGCATATGCTGATGCTTGTGCACATTGAATAAACATAGCTTTGTGTATTGTGTAGATATTGAGACAGTCCGGTTAGTATAAAGTGGGTATGAATTTGCAGGAGCCATCTCCTATGGGGTGGACAAATCCCTCTAGAGGCTATTTTTCACCCTATGCCTCTCCTGCGGGGTCTCTGGGGCCCTGTGTGTAAGTCCCTGAGGGTCTGGGCCAGTTTGATGTTGGATACGTAGCTCGCTGAGTGCTCTTTAGGGTACCGCTGCTTTGGCCCTTCACGATTGGGAAGTATGGGGGGAATCTGGCAGCAGAGGCATTCACCATTACTCAGTGTCGGGTAGCTGCTCGTCTCAGTCGGGGGGCTGGCCTGCCGGTGTGTACTCGAGCTGTGGTTCGCCAATGGCCTGGTGTCCATGTCTGCTCTCCCCTTGGCTTGAGTGCCGGTATTCCCGCCGGATATTTCCAGCTTCCTGCAGCAGGTGGGTGTTTCTGGCCTCTGGGCCCCGTTGGGGGTCGACATACGAAGCCTGGCTCCATCAGTGTCCCCTTACCAGGTGGGAAAGAGAGGGGAGAGCCCATGGTTGTGGGGCAATATCTTACCCAGCTTCTTGTGGCTGCTTTTCTTGGCCGTGTGGCAAGAGGGTTGTCTGGTGTCCAGGCGGTGGGTGGTCGACATTCTGGCATATCTGCCTGCCTGCCTTTCTGTGTGGGTGCCGGTAAGTCCCTCAAGCTTTTCTTGTTTTTTATGGCATTAGGGTGCTTGTTGAGGGGCTGGCGACCTGGAGCCTTAACCGATGAAAGTGTCAAGGTGCTCAGGGTCTGCTTGTGTGGTGTGTTACCGCCCTGTCTCTGCGGGGGGATGCTTGCAGTCGGCGGTTTAGTTTATCCCAAGTTTGGTTGCCTACAAGGCCATGCTATTGGGCTGTGCTGTGCACATAATGAAATACAAAGCGTACGGTGAAAATATAAATAAATAAATACTGGTGCTGCTATCACCTTAGTGGGCCACAATAACCACTAAAATACCACAAGTGACAAATAAATACAGTTGGTGAGAGCACACAGAACTAAAAAAATATATATATTACCCCCAGTAGAGTTACTCTCTGAAAGAAATACAGAAAAATAACATAGGGTAATAACGTAATGAACAATAAAATAATGTATGGATAATATGCACTCACATACGAAGAGCCAATTACAAGCTGGCTCACACTGAACGCCTGGAAATAGAATACTCCTCAGGACTGGGGCAGACTTCCACTGGGCTCTTCCCAAAGAAACAGAAACGCAGGTTCAAGTTCAAGCTTAACTTTAATAATTATTAAAAAATAAATAAACAAGGAAAGTCCCATAAAACACTGTAAATAACAAGTCCCAAAATGTCCTTGGAGTTCACCTAACGCGTTTCGGCATAAAAGCCTTCATCAGAGGTGCTGTAACTGTTCCAGGCGTGAAGCTTCTTATCTATCCATATTGGCGCCAAATTTCCGCCGCATTCGCGGCATTGTACTTCCGGGTGTAACGTAAAAACGTGTCCTGCGTCATCACGTGATCGCGTCACTTCCGGTTCACTCGAAATGACGTGCAACAACCGTCATAATATAAACAAGGGTATTCTAAACGGCACACAATATGAATAGGCTAAAAACTGAAGAAATAACCAAGAAATAAATAATAAAACAAAAATAATAAAAATACATATATCATATCGATCCCAAACGGTTTTCTTACGGATAATAGTTAAAACAAAGGAATGATCTAGGAGAATAAGAGGAAAATAAATTATTATGTACAAATGTACTAAAAAAGGAGGAAAAAGAAAAAATAAAAACAATAAAAAAGACTAATAATTTACTGATAATAATTAAAAAAGATTAATAAAATTTGGAAAAATTTAAAAAATATATAAAGAAAAAATAGAGAGGTAAATCTATAAATAACATTAAATATATTTATTAATTTCAAAATCCACATTCAAACCATTTGGGATCATGGTGTCCATTTCGAACATCCACTTCATCTCTGTAAATCCCAAGGTATATTCCTTATCTCCACCTCTCCAGTGATTTTTAACCAGATCTATCCCCACAAATTCAATACCTTTCGGGTCTCCATTATGGGTTTCTGCAAAGTGTTTTGATACACTATGATTAATAAATTTACGTCTTATATTATATATATGTTCTCTAATTCTGATTTTTAAAGTGCGCATTGTCTTACCAATATATTGTAACCCACACGGGCAAGTAAGTAAATAAATTAACCCTTTACTCGAATAATTAATAAAAGATTTAATTTTATATTCCCTTTTAGTAATTAATGACGTAAACTGTGTAATTTTTTTATTTTTACTAGTTTTGCATAAACATCCTTGGCAAGTACCACAAAAATGAAACCCTTTACTCCCTTTTAAAAAATTATTATCAATTTTATCTTTATCTAAAAAACTTTTGGTTAATATTTGTCTAAAATTGCTTGCCCCTCTAAAAATGAATTTAGGTTGAGAGTCTAAAAACGGAAGGATTTCTGGGTCTTCTTTGAGAACATACCAATGTTTTTTAATTATCTTTTGTAATGCTCTATTATTAGAACTAAAATCAAAGACCAAAGGAATTATCTTATCATTTTGTTCATCTCCAAATTTTTTTCTATTTTTTGGTTTATATTTAAGGAGGGGTTGTCTTTCTTTCTCAGCAATCTCTTTTTCTATTGTATCTAAATCTTCTTTTATATAACCTTTTTCTATAAATTTACATTTTAATATTTCTGCTTGTTTAAAATATTCCTTTATTTCCGTACAATTTCTTTTCAATCTTAAAAATTGTCCTTTTGGTTTATTTGTAAGCCATGGTTTAAAATGGCAACTTTTTAAATCTATAAAACTATTTACATCAACAGTTTTAAAAAACGTCTTACTTTTAATTTTATTATTTTCAATATAAATTAAAAGATCTAAAAAGTTAACATTTTCCTTACTAATTTCATAAGATAAATTAATGTTATAAAAATTAGAATTAAGAGCATTGATAAAAAATTCAAGAGATTCCCTATTTCCTTTCCAAATAATAAAAATATCATCTATATATCTTTTGTAGAGGACCAGACTTGCCCCAATATCTGTCCTAGAGAAGATATATTTTTCTTCCCAAAAGGACATAAAAAGATTTGCATAGCTTGGGGCAAATCTGGTCCCCATGGCTGTACCTAAAATCTGGAGATAAAATTTGTTCTCGAACTTACTACTTAAAGGAGATTTATAAACAACTTGAAGATGTTAAAACATATAAGGAACTGACACGCAACCCCCTTCCAGAGATTAAATTAAAATACAAGGAATTCTTAAACGAAGGGTTAACAACAGGCATTTTAACCAAAAAAGAGTATGAATTTTTAGACAATAAATACCCAAGGATTCCTGTTATTTATATATTACCTAAAATACATAAGGACATTGACAATCCTCCAGGCAGACCAATAGTGTCTGGAATAGGGTCCTTATTATCGCCCTTGTCTCAATATATAGACCAATTTTTACAAAAAAAAGTGATCGAATGTCCAGCCTATTTAAAAGATACGATGAGTCTACTCCAAATTTTAGAAGATTTTAGTTGGCAGGAAGATTTTATCATGGCAACATGTGATGTTAAAAGTCTGTATACTATCATTGAACACGAAAAAGGGTGTGAGGCTGTTAAATTTTTCTTAAAAAAGTCAGGTGAGATGGATGATCTCCAAATAGATTTTTTAATTAAAAGTATCGAATTTATTTTAAAAAATAATTTCTTTTGGTTCGAGAACAAATTTTATCTCCAGATTTTAGGTACAGCCATGGGGACCAGATTTGCTTTGTTGTCGAGGTTTTTAGACATAAAGTCCCATTTTAGTGCCCAAATGACCATGGTGCAGCCGTGCCCGACCGACACAACCTCGCCGATATTGCGAGCTTACCTACTCTCCGGCGAGCCGGGAACCGCTCCTCTGTGTCTTCTGGGCATTGCGCCCAAATTAAAGATGGCGCTGACCACGTGGTCGCGCACACCATAAGCTCCGCCTCTCAAATTTATACGGACGTGCGCGTGACGTCACAATGTCAACGCACACGCACGTTCTGGGGTCAGAGGTCACCCCCTGACCAATCAGAGCCCAGAGAGGGATATTTAAATCCCTAATTTACTCCAGTTCCTTGCCCTGTCGTGATTTCCTGTTCCTGGTTCCCGAGAGTGCGTTTATCTTTGTGAATATTACCTCTTGGTATCCTGATCTTGGCTTTTCCTTGGTTATTATGAATTCTGGTTCCCCTGACTTGGCTTGTTTAAACGGTATCTGAGTATTTCTGGCTTCCTTGACCTCTCTATCTCTAGCATATTAGTCCGGCCATTCTAAGGTCCGGTTTACACTCTGTCCTTTTATTTCCTTTCCTTTTTTATGTATATGTTTACATAGTTTCTGCATGTTGGACCACACTTGCAGCCGTGACACCGGAGCTCATGTAAGACACGTCTGTCCTGCATCTCAGTCAGGCCCCGCCCCCTGGGGGGCTACTTTTTGACCCAAAGGTTAAGCGGGAGAAAAAAGTTATCTGCCCATTTGATGCCATGTAAGTGCCAGAGTGTAGGGTGGATAGTTTGAAGGCACTTATAATGTCTGTCTAACTTAGCCAGGCTCCGACCCCTTCTTCTGTGATGGCTATGATGGCATGATCTATAGTGGAATATTGTAGGGAAAACTCTTTGGAGGGGAATGAGGGAGTTAAGACTTGGGGTAGTAGAGGTATGAGGGGCTGACAGATCTATAATGATTCTCTGCTTAAGGGAAGATTTCCCTGTGACTATCCCGATGGGATTTGTGCGCCATGCCATAAATGGTGGGGTTTTAAAAGGCCCGAACAAAAACCCCTCTGCCAATTCTTGGGCTATGAGCGTATCTATGGCCGTTGGGTTCTGTTGCGCTGATTGTAAATTTGGGCATTCAAGATGGCCTGTGGGCATATGTATAATGCCTGTATGGAACCCCTCTGAAAAACCAGAAATGAGAAAATCTACAATATGTCTGGAGGGGTGATTGGTCAGTAGTGCTGAGAAGATATGAATGTTAACAGATGTTAGGTATGGTTTAGGGTACATTTTATTTGGACACATGGTTTTCGCATGTGCCCTGAAACATTGTTAACAAATATGCAATAACCTGCATGCACTAAAGTTACATGTGCCCACATTGAAATTATTATTTACCAAAGAAAATTATGGGATGATCCTGTTTGTCTCTGGTGCTTTTCTCAGTTCTACCAGTGTAGCTAGTGCTAGGTGACTGATTACAGCCATCTGCCATGTTAGAACAAAAATTAGTAGTGTGGGTAGTAGAAGAGCAGGATGCACAAGCCGGTGTTTTGAGACCTGCGAAGTGTCTACAGAATATTTCCATATCTAGTCTGCTCCAGTCGATACGGGTACCATACTGGGAGAGCGCCAGACACCTTGGTGGAAAAAAGGTA